TCTCCCTCCGCACCTTCAACCCCTGCTCAAAGACAAAAAGCTGCTGTTGTGGAAAGAGATTCTGCTGGACCTTCAGTACCCCGACTCGAAGATCGTTGATGAAGTATGTCAGGGTTTCCCCTTGACGGGGTGGGCCCAGTCTTCGGGCGTTTTCCAGACTAGGGTGAAGCCACCAGACTCTTCCATGGAACAACTTGAAGGGATGGCGAAGGGGCTCAACATGGCAGTTGTGGCCTCCCTTGAATCATCGGAATGGATGCCAGTTGACCAGGTCGCGTGGGATGAAACAATGCAAGAGGTAGCAAATGGATGGTTGGTTGAAGAACCGCACCCTGACCTTGGCAAACAATTCATAGCGAAGAGGTTCCCAATTCAACAGAAAGAGAAAACACGTCTCATCGACGACTTCTCGATCTGCGGAGTAAACTCTGCCTTTGGTATGTCAGAGAAGCTGAGGGTTGACGCCATAGATGAAATACTGGCAGGCATCTCCGTCCTACTTGACTCCCAGAGTTTCGTAAACAAAGGCAAAGGACTTTTGGGAAGGACATTTGATTTGAAATCGGCCTACAAACAATTTGGAGTGGACGTGCCACATTCGGAGAAGCTCAGAATCGCTGTGAAGAAACCTGGTGGAGGAGTTGCATTTTTCAAAGTTTTGGCGTTACCCTTCGGAGCCACTGGCAGTGTTTCGGCTTTTCTCAGGATTTCATCTGCAGTTGCGTTCATAGGCTCGAAGGGTCTTTGCATTCCATGGTCAGTATTTTTCGACGACTACACTGCCCTCTCGCCGTCAGGCCTTGAGCTTGACACCGCATTTTATGCAGAAGCTTTGTTCAAGCTACTGGGCATAAACTTTGCCTCGGAAGGATCAAAAGCACCCCCGTTCTCGGACTGCTTCAAGACTTTGGGGCTAGTGGTCAACACAGAGAACGTGGGGAACCGAGAGGTCAAAGTTGGACACACGGAGGAGAGGTTGAAGGAACTTCTCGAATGCATTGACGAAATCCTGCGCCACAACTCCGTGGGAACCAAGACCCTTGAAAGGTTGCATGGCAGGATAGTCTGGTTTCGCACCTTTGTTTTTGGGAGAAGACTGAACGCGGCCACCAGGGTCCTGTCATGGCACTCGAGAAGGACGGGTCCGTCGATCCGCGTTGACGATCAGCTGAGATCGGCATTGGGAACATTGAGGAATCACCTGGCGTCGAGCAGACATGTTTCCATAAACCGTGATATCAATGAGACGTGGATAATTTTTACGGACGGCGCTTTTGAGCCCACCAACACACAACCTGCTTCAATAGGTGGAATCCTGGTGAACCCAAGTGGGAAAGTCGTTTCGTTCTTCGGTGCATACCTCCCGCAGCCTCTCCTTGAAGAATTCTTGGCGAAATTAAACCATCCAATATATGAACTGGAGATCCTTCCTTTGCTGGTTGCTGTCAAGATATGGTCAACGAATATAGTAAGCAAGCTTGTGGTTCACTATTTGGATAACGATGCAGCAAGATCTGCTTACGTTCGTGCCCATGCCTCGACCGACCTTGGAGCAGCCTTGATTGCTGAATATGTTGAATTTGAATACAAATGCCGTTTTTCTCCATGGTTCGCGAGAGTTGCAAGCCATAGCAACCCGTCGGATGAACCTTCAAGGATGAACTTCGAAGCACCCTGGCTTAGGCAAGCAAGCAAAGTCGAATTTGTCCTGCCAGAGCACTTGTCGCAGTGGGGAATCATCGGGTGCTCTGACACTTAGCATCAAATCACTTTGTGTCAACGTTTGACAATGATGGAATCATGGCCCATCCAACGCACCAAACATAAGCTCAGCTGGAACCATGACCGGCTTTGGATTTGACCCCCGACAGTGCAATTACTGGAATCAAAAAGGAAATCAATAAAAATGCCGAGTGTGGTGCACTTGCATTGTCCTTTTCGGAGCGTCGGCGACTGCGACAATTTTTTGTAGTAAGGTTTATTTATGTAAATAATATATTTACATAAATTCCACTTACCTTACATCACAACGATATGCCATATAATTTAATATATAATTATATGGATATCAACTTAACATTTGAAACTTCCACCACCAGTGTTGGATTAGTCTCAATTGATCCTGGTTTTGTGGAGAAATAAGATGTCACTCTTTTGGAAAAAGATGAAAGCCTTATTTCTCCAAACAAAAATTTGTGAAGTCTCACAAATAAGGATCAACAAGAATCCTCCCTGTTTGGTGGTGAACAAACATTTGTTAAAGGTTGAAACATCCAACCAAACATGGTGACGCAAACAATTTGGCGTTCTATTCCCATTTTCAATTTCTAATTTTCGATGTGGCATTCAATAATTCCATTGGAAACAAACCACATCCTTTGCACGTCACATCATCAATTGTAATGCTGTGGCTTTTCCCAATCAAGTGGTGGGAGGGCGGGAGTCCCTTTTAAATAAGGGCAATTTTTTGTCACCCACCCCGTTACTCTCTCCCACCCAAAAATTGGGGAATCATCTGGTGCTCTGACACTTAGCATCAAATCACTTTGTGTCAACGTTTGACAATGATGGAATCATGGCCCATCCAACGCACCAAACATAAGCTCAGCTGGAACCATGACCGGCTTTGGATTTGACCCCCTGTAGTAAGGTTTATTTATGTAAATAATATATTTACATAAATTCCACTTACCTTACATCACAACGATATGCCATATAATTTAATATATAATTATATGGATATCAACTTAACATTTGAAACTTCCACCACCAGTGTTGGATTAGTCTCAATTGATCCTGGTTTTGTGGAGAAATAAGATGTCACTCTTTTGGAAAAAGATGAAAGCCTTATTTCTCCAAACAAAAATTTGTGAAGTCTCACAAATAAGGATCAACAAGAATCCTCCCTGTTTGGTGGTGAACAAACATTTGTTAAAGGTTGAAACATCCAACCAAACATGGTGACGCAAACAATTTGGCGTTCTATTCCCATTTTCAATTTCTAATTTTCGATGTGGCATTCAATAATTCCATTGGAAACAAACCACATCCTTTGCACGTCACATCATCAATTGTAATGCTGTGGCTTTTCCCAATCAAGTGGTGGGAGGGCGGGAGTCCCTTTTAAATAAGGGCAATTTTTTGTCACCCACCCCGTTACTCTCTCCCACCCAAAAATTGGGGAATCATCTGGTGCTCTGACACTTAGCATCAAATCACTTTGTGTCAACGTTTGACAATGATGGAATCATGGCCCATCCAACGCACCAAACATAAGCTCAGCTGGAACCATGACCGGCTTTGGATTTGACCCCCTGTAGTAAGGTTTATTTATGTAAATAATATATTTACATAAATTCCACTTACCTTACATCACAACGATATGCCATATAATTTAATATATAATTATATGGATATCAACTTAACATTTGAAACTTCCACCACCAGTGTTGGATTAGTCTCAATTGATCCTGGTTTTGTGGAGAAATAAGATGTCACTCTTTTGGAAAAAGATGAAAGCCTTATTTCTCCAAACAAAAATTTGTGAAGTCTCACAAATAAGGATCAACAAGAATCCTCAAGCAATTCGAGATCTGAACGGTTACTTGGCATCTCGTGGGTGTTCTAAGCAAGTGGGATTGCGATTCACAGATCGCCCAGAGCACAAAGCTGCAGTCATCGTGCGGGCTAGACCTCGGTTCTTTGTGGACGACAAGTTTTCGATTGTCGATCAGGCAGCATCTGAAGTGTGGGATAAAGGAATCCAGACGGAAGTCTTTTTCCTAGCAGAACGCCGCCCTCGGAATCCCTATCTGACTCACGTGCAATCATTTGAACTCTTCGTCAACTGTGTGATTGGGTCATTGCACCGCTGCGATCCTGTTGGAGATCGTCCAGTCTGGTCACGGGAGTTTCCTGCTCCCTAACCACTGATCGAAGCTCGTCATTGCTTAGCAAAAGTGTGCCTCTGGATGGTTTCATCTTCAAGCCCTGAATTAACTTTGAGTTCATCTGTTGATGGGTTACCTGCCGCTTTGAGTTCTAGTTCAAGAGTTCCCAGTAGGAGTTCATCCTCAGCTGGGACCCCTAGGAAAAATAGAGTCCGTAAGTCCAGTCAACTTCCATCCCAAGAGGGCTCACCAGCGCTTCTTGCGGGGGTACCTCGAGGGAAAAAGGGGGGTCAAGGGATTAGGACCAGTTGGAAAGAAATGATGCAACAAAAGAAGGCTCTAGGGGATGGAGTTCGGGACCCTGGCCTTGAAATGGATGTGTCCGAACCTTTGAGTGGCTTGGAACCTAGTACAACGATACCAGGTTCGGGGCTTAGTGGCGCAACCAGTTCGGGGGCTCAGGATCATCGGCAAATTCACCATCATCAGACGTTTCACCAAGAAACCCCTCATCTTGAGTATGAGAATCAGGTCCAATACAATCAGACTGTCCAAAATTTCCACGATGATAGGCAAACTCATCATCATCAAACTGTCCAACAGTATGTCGCTGCTCCATCACTTGACCCTCTGATCATGGCCAATGCAGCGGAGGCTGTGACGGGGGCCAGAACTGAAGCAGCCCAGGTTGTTTTGGACGCCAGGACTCAGGTGTTTGAAGCCAATGCGCAATTTAACGCCCAACTTGCTCAGTTGAAGACTGCGCTCAACGCGCGGGATGCGGCTTTGGCTTTGGCAGGGGAAAGGGGAAAGATGTTGAACGCTAGATTAGAAGAATGTATGCGGGAATTAGAAGTATTGCGGGGAAACCTTTTGAATCAGGTTCCAAACCAAAATGATGCGGAGTCAATTGGATCACAATTCGGGGTTAGAATCAGAATGATCGAGGAAGGATTAAGTAACATGAAAAACATGTTCACTTCCATGGTGACCCCTAGGTTGGATTCCAACGAAAAATGTGTTGTTGATTTATCATCTCGGATCGACCGGCTAACAAATGAAATCATGGGGGATAGGGAAAAGTTTCAAGATCTTCACGCTGAAGTTCAGGCCGTCAAGCAAGATTTATGGTGGGAAGACACAGCGGGTATTGGTCAGAAATCTGCTGAGGTGACACCCAAAGCAGCCACACCGAAGGGAGTGGAAGTGTTTGACTTGTACAATGATCGTGACCAGACATCTCATGCCCGACGGGAGGTGGATCAGTCATCGGGAGGGGGAGAGGATTTTGAGGAGTCAGCCATCAGGCTGAAAGATCTTCACCACTTCAAGGTCCCCAATCTTCCTATCGATGCTGGTTCTTACCGCCAATGGAAAAATTCTTTGAGGGCGTTGGTCATGAGCTACGACAGGTCAACAGATGGTTCATTAATGGGATGGATCACACAAGCTTTGGGGGCTAAAACAGACCAGGAAAAAGCCAACCTTCAGTTGTCCTCTGGTGCGTTTCCTAGATTTGACAGGGTTTTGGCTGCAGCACTCTGTAAACCCGAACATCTCAGGTCCCAATTTGGAGTTAGATTCAATGCCTACTTGGAGACTTGTGAACTTCAACATGAAGAAATTCGGGGCCGGGTCATGCTAAACGTCATATCGAGGGAGTTTGACACTGACCGCAACACTGGTGCAATTGTAACTGTGTTGGAGTTGTACAACCTTCCCCCGCCCCAAGACAACATCGCGGCCCTGCGCCAATGGCGTGACAAGGTCAACTACGTCAGAAACCAGATAGGACCCCAGGATCAACCCGAACCACGTTTGTTAGCAAAATGGCTGTATGACAGGTTGAAGAAACACCCAGCCATGAGACGCCATGTTGACAAAGTCAGGGATGCACCATCAGGTTCGGAGATGCAAACTGTCGATTGGTTGTGGGGAAAGTTAGACCAGTGCATTCATGAATCTCAACAAGAGGCCAATGCGATAAGTATCCAAGAAGCCCTCAGGAAAGGTCCCCCCAAGAAACCATCCTCCTCCAACGATGCTCCAGGGATGACCGCGAAAGCTGGCAAGGGTGGTAAGGATGGGAAAGGCAAGGGGAAGCCATCCAAGGATGGCAAGGATGGCAAAGGCAAATCCAACCCCAATCCCAAACACAATAGTGGGGGATCCAATGACCAATCAAAACCCAGTTCAACCCACCCCAAAACATCGGAATTGACCCCCAGCACAAAAGGCCGAGATGCCATGCATTTACTTTTCCCAAGGTAAATGCTACCGCGAGAAATGCCCTTTCAAACATGACCCCAGTGGACCCGCTAAACCGGGTTTGGTGGCTCTGCTCGCTGCATCGATTTCGGCTGCAACCGCCACTACGATCCCGTCTAACTCAGGTCCTCACTTCGTTGATTTTGTTGGTGACACAGGGGCGGGAGAATGGCTTGGAAGCCGTCGAGCTATGATGCGTCAAGGTGTCCAGTCTGATGTTTTGAATGAATGGGTTGGTACTTCCAGTAAGCCCCTCCGTTTCACTACTGGTGGTGGCACGCAACCTGCATCTTCTACCATTGGCATATGGTCCCGTGAATTTCAGCAAGTCAACAACATATACCTTTTGGACGAATGTCCCATGGTCCTGTCTATTGGTCATTTGATGTACAATTCTGGTTTCAGTTTCCATTGGGAACCATCCAACCTCCCATGGCTCCAAAGCCCAGAAGGGGAATGTCTGTTTGCCGATAGATTGGATCATAATGTACCGATTTTTCGTTTGCAATGTGACTTCCAATATGGATTGCCGTTGGTTCCCACAACGGGGGGGGGATAACGAGCCTCACGACATCAGTGACTTGGATGCTGCAAGACGTGACTTAGAGTCAGTTCAGATTCCCGAGCCTTCTGAACCTTCTGGACCTGTATCTGCGCCACGCGCGAGCAGGTGAAGAGGGTGATGACAGGGGTGACGGGGAAAGATGGATTGATGAGTTTCCCCCTAATCATTTGATGACACATCTACCAAAAAGTAGATTGTGTGACACATGCCCCCAAGCCAAACTTTACGAGTCTCCTCATAGGCGTCGTGAGAACCAACGTGCAGTGCTAAAGGAAGCCAGAGGAAAAGAGGACCCCAAAGAGCATCTGGAAAAAATCGCAGTTGACTTTGCCATTGCATCAGACCTAGTTGGACAAACCGGGGATAAAGCTGCTTTGGTTTTGGTTGACAAGTTTTCCGGGTTGTTGGGGATTTATCCATGCGAAGATAGGAGTACTGAAGAATGTATGAAGGGCCTCCAACATTTCTGTGGGACGAAGGCTCCAGGAGTGGTGGAAGTGGCTTCTGACCGGGAAGGGGGGATTCTGAAAGCTGTTAAGTCTCTTGGATTCGTCGCTGACCCAGCGGCCCCAAACATGAAAATCAAGAATGCGGTAGCTGAGGCTGCAATCAGGACGGTGAAGGGTTCCGCATCGGCTCTGCTACTGCATGCAGGTTTCCAACCAGACTTGTGGCCTCTAGCTGTCAAATATCTTGAATTCAGCTACAACATAAACACGATGTCCAAAACCCCGCTTGAACCTCCGGTCACATGTTATGAAGCCGCCCATGGTTACCCATACGAAGGGTACATGATCCCATTTGGAGCTCTTGTTTGGTACAAGGAAAGTGGTGGGAAAAGTTTTGAACCTAAGGGATCCCCCGCCATCTACCTTGGGCCCGAACTGATCAATGAAGTACAAGGGAAACCACAGGGTTTGGGCACTGAATCTTGTTACCAAAGGTATTTTGAGGGAATGTGTTGTAAGGACATTGGCTTTCCCAAACGGGAAGTGGCAGTTTCCTTTGAAACCTCAGGGAAAACCCGAAGGGTTGGTCCCACCTGGCGAGGTGTTTGAGCCTCCGCCCGACTTAGGCGACATTTTGGTGGATGAGGGGGAAATCGCTGTTGAAACGAATCCAAAGGATGAGGGCAGAACCCCAAACCCCAAAAGGCGCAACAGGTCAATTACCACCATAAGGATTGGGATACATGGCCCCACCCCAAAGTGTTTTGGATGTAAGGAGGGGACCTACAATCATACCCAAACTTGTAGAGATCGATTCAACGAACTGATTGATACATGCGAGCCGTCTAGCAAGGGCAAAAGTCTTTCCTCCAGTGCGCATGTTGGGGAGATGCCCAGCAAGACTGTTCCGGCCCCACCTTCTTCCTCGCCGGCGCATCCTGCGGGAGGGAGCGGTGAAGGTCAAAAGGATATTGCGGTCTCACCTTCCTCATCACCAGCGCGTCTTGCGGGAGGGGGGGGTGAGGGCCATATCCACAGTGGAGAGGTTAATGATGGGAATAGTGATGGGTACGCCCCTACTACGCCAATTAATTCACCATTGCCTTCTTCAGTTGGGGACCCAGATGATTTAGGTGACCCCAATGAAATTGATCCGGATCAGGAACCTTCGACTGAGGGGATTGGAGCAATGATAGCTTCAGGAAACAAAGTTTCCAAAATCATTGAAACGGTTGAGAAAGGGGTGAATGCCGTGGCATCCATTTTCCTTGATGCACTCGAAAAAGGTGGTGTCAACGAGGAGCCTTTGTCAGCCAGGCTTGCAAAAGCAATGGCCGCTGTTCCCAAACCAAAGGTAGGGAAGAAAACAGCGAAAGGCAGAACTTCATGGTTTGTTGAATTTTGCTGTTCGAAACGAAGTGAGATTTGCAAACTAGCCGAAGAAATGAATATCAATTATATTGGACTCTCTAGGGAAATGTGTAACCTTTTGGATCCCAACCATATGAATCAAGTGATGGAATGGGCTCTTGAAAGGAAATCCTATGGGGACGTCATTCACGTTTGGGGTTCGCTTCCATGTACCCCGTGGAGTTCATGGCAGCATCTCAATCTTCACGTCAAAGACGGGGAATTTGCTGAGGACTTGGAACAGAGGAGGGAAGAATTTAAGGTGTTGGTTAGTAATTTTCACTCTCTCTCAGAGATCGCCATTGACAGCGGGGGATCCAGCAGCTTCGAGTGGCCACGGTGGTGCTCGGGTTGGGAAGAGGTGGATGAACTGACTCTGATGATTACCAAGTTTTCAATGTTCTCAACTTACCCATGCGGTTGTGCTTTTGATCTCACCATCAAGGGAAAAAAGCCCCTCAAACCCTGGAGAATTGTTACCACGGATGAAAGGGTTGCTGTAGAGATGGGTCGTAGGACATGCAAGCACCCAAAGGGATATAAACATGATCGTCTTGAAGGGGGTAATCTTTCCTACTTGAGTGGGTTTTACAATCGTTCCATGGCTGCATCCATCCTTTGTTCATTGTTCCCCAAAGAATTCATGGAAGGAATTCCTGCCATGCCCACGGTTGTTGAGGACAATCAAAACCATAATGTGGATAAATGGGAACGGATTGCTGACCAATTAAATTCTGGGACATGCCTGCAACATGCCATGGGTTTGGTTCACAGAGTTTTGAGTAGGCAGGAGATCAAGAGTGATCCTAAGGCAGGTGAGGCAATCAGAAAGGAAGCGGCTGAAGTCCGCGCCATGGGAGTCTGGGACGATAGTTCCGTGTGTGAAGTTAGCGACTTGAAAGAATGGGCAAAACAAAAAGGCGAAAAGGTCCATATAGCTGAAGTCATGGAGGTCGGGTCTATAAAACACGATGAACTTGGCCCCACTTTGGCTCAGCACAAAGGGAGGTTAGTATTTCGGGGCGATGCTACACGAGATGAGAACGGACTTCCGGCAAAGTTCAGAGAACTACACTCACAACCTGCTAGCATTCAAATCGTCTCCCTAGTGTTGCTATATGGTATGATGGAAAGCATGGTAGTTCATATTGCCGATTGCAAAAAGGCATACTTACAAGCCATCCTTCGGAGCCCTATTGCAACTTGGGTTGTGCTTCCTTTCTTATGTTGGCTTCCAGGGTGGGAACACAAGTTCAAACGTCCTTGCGTCAGACTCCGGCGCGCCCTTTACGGGCACCCGGAGGCAGGTGATGACTGGTTTGCACATTTGTCTGAGGTGCTAGAATCCAAAATGGGCTTCAAACCTGTCGAGGGGATGCCATCCTTGTGGTGGAACCCCACCACCCGAGTGCTCACCGCAGCTTACGTGGACGACATCATGGCCTCAGGGCCAGCGAAGGCGTGTGAGGAATTTTGGAAGGTGTTACGATCACATGTGACGATCGATGAAGTTACCACACCTGGGCGGTTTCTGGGAAGGGACCATTCCATATCCAAAGATGGACGGGAAGTCTTTTTGTCCATGAAAGAATATTGTCTCTCAGCTGTTGACCTATATTCGAAGCTTGTGGGGGATAGACCATTGAAACCAGTTTCCACGCCTTATTTAGATGCTGAGTTGAACGCGTCTGATTGGGAAACCAGAGGGGAGTTGGGTGAGAGATCCGCTTCAATCCTAATGAAAATCCTTTGGTTAGCTAGGTTGTCGAGACCGGACTTATCCCACGCTGTCACTAAACTTGCCTCGGGGATTACCAGGTGGAGCACCAACCACGATAAAATGTTGTATAGACTCGTCTGTTATATGAGTGCAACTACAGATTTTGGTGTTTTGGCTTCTATGAAAGGGACTCCTGATACCATTTCTTTGCACTTGTTTACTGACGCGGATTTGTGGGGTGACGTATGCACAATGAAGTCCCACTCGGGGATTTATCTTTGCGTTGAATGTCCTGATGGATCACACTTTCCAATCTCTTGGACATCTAGGCGTCAACAACGTGTTTCAAAATCCACAGCGGAATCAGAACTGGTTGCTATGAAAGATGGCTTGTATACTGACGCACTGCCTGTTCAAACAGTACTTGAACTGATTCTTGGTAGGAAAATTCCTCTCATACTCCATGAGGACAACCGGGCATGTATACACATCTTGGGTTCACTCATTGCAAAGCAATGATGCTCCCTTTATTTAGACAAAAGGAAAAATTTTGTCTTGGACAAAATTAGGCAGTTTCCTGAAATTTTTTCCCTGATGTGAATGTTGACTTCTTCACTTCTAAACAGTGAATGAAGAAACCCTGAACCAAAACGATCAGTTATTTGGCTGGACGTTTTATACCTGTTTCTTTTAAGTGAAAGAAACTTGATTTGTCACATTCAGGAATTTTAACCTGGTAATTTTGGAATCTGACAATGCGGTTTTTGTGAAACAAAATGGATCGTCATTGTCCTCACATGTTTTCTTTTAACATGTGATAATATCTTCGACCGTGCTCGCCTCAAGACAGGGAGGGTGTGGAGGGAGAAGCTTGCATTTTTGAATGCAGGTTGTAGCATGGGGGTTCTTTGTAGTTTTCGCGCCATGGATCTGCAGGAAACTGAACATGACCGTGACTCTTGGACACATGTCACTGATTTCGGTTTTGGACAAGTTTCTGAACCTGACGCTAGCTACTATGAGCCTTCGATCAGATCTGACTTTTCAGGG